TACCATGATCTTTCCTGTATGCAAATCTCATGATAAAGAACCATGTGAAATGTACTGTAAACAACGTGATTTTCCTATCTGCTTCAGCTGCCTCGAAACTAATCAACATTTAGGTCATGAATTATCTAAAATCTTGCGAGTTTTTTATGAAAAGAAAGACATGATAATAAAAGAAAGATATGAATTCAAGGATACAATTTATCCAGTCTTCCAGGACATTGCCTCTGATGTACAAAACAGAATGAGTCAGTTAGAAATGGAATATGGAGATCTCTCATCAGCCATAACAAAACATGGAGAGGACTGGCACAGAGAAATTGACAAACTTGTCAAGAAATTTAAAGCTGAAGTTGATGAGATGAAAAAATCAGGGTTACAAACCCTACAGAAACATCTTGATGAAATTAACAATAACGTTCCTAAACTCAAGTACAAAATCGATTCAGTTGTTATTGTAGATTCTAATAACATTATGTTATTGTAGATTCTAATAACATTTCCAAGCTATTCAGTGCCATGTCTAATACGAACACAAACACAAAGATCTTGCAGAAAAAATTGTGACCTCCTTACCTACATTTAGTCTTAGAAAAATCCCAGAAGATGAACTTTGTAAAATGTTTGGAGCCTAATCATCAAGTTCTTTAACAACAGATAAACATGGCTACAGCATAAAGACAACACAGAAATCACCAGAAGCTGGATCCTCTCCTCCAGTCAAACAGCTGCTTGACATCTGTAAGGGATCAATGCTCAAGTCAATCACAACCGAGCCATGGAGCATGACAGTAACAAAAAGTGGAGATTTAGTTTATACTGATATCAGTGATAACACTGTGAACAATATGAAGAATGAAAAGATAGAGAAGGTGATCAGACTTCAGAACTGGAGACCTGATGGTATCTGTGGTACCTCCTCTGATGACTTAATTGTTTGTTTTTTTTTTGGACAGTAGTGAGCTCGAGTCTAAGCCATCAAAAGTTGTCCGTTACTCTGGCTCCACAGAGAAACAAACCATTCAGTCTGATGATGAAGGTAAACCTTTGTATTCTTCTGTCTCTTTTTGTTTGAGATACGTCACTGAAAACACAAGAGCCAGGATATCTGTGTGTCTCATGAAAGAACTAGAGTGGTAGTGGTGGTCAGTCAGGCCGGGAAACTGAGATTCAGGTACACTGGACATATTCCTGCTCCAAAGAATAAATAATTCAATCCAAGAGGAATCACCACAGATAGTCAAAATCACATTCTTAAAGCTGATTATAACAATGATTGTGTCCACATCCTAGAACAGGATGGACAGTTTCTCCGTTACATAGACTGTGGACTTATCGGACCCTATGGACTGTGTACAGATATAAATGACAATCTGTTTGTTGTCCATATTAGAAAGGGACAAGTGAAGAAAATCAAATATCTGCAGTGAATTCATACAAAAGTTCTGCTAATGGAAAACCCTTGTTTGAAGAAATAGTTCGGAGTTTTCAAAATTTGTTCATGTCCCCAATTGCTTTGATCTGTGAGTTTCACCAAAGCAAAGTGAATTTATGGAGTTAACAAAAAACTGATAGACTTTATAGTTTTCTTGTAAGAAATAAAGTCAGAATTCATTATTCAGGTGTTGGTTTTAAAAATAGAACGCTTATTGTGTTGTTAATTCAAAGCACAAAAAGATTCCTAAACAAATTAGGCTTGATTAATTGATTGTATATTGTTTAAAGGCCTTCTCGAGAATTTTTCACTTATATGGAAACACAAAACAAATAAGGAATGTAGAGTACAGTGTACGATGTCCATACATTTTGGCCTGTAAGTGTATAATGAAGTTTGACTAATCACAGAGTCAAGCCGTTCAATAGACAGCAAAGCAATTTGTAAACATTGCTGTACTGTCACCATGATATAGCTTGTGTGTAATCAAATCTTGCGAAAATTTGTTTTAAGAAGTGAAGTGCAATTTATTCTTTTGAAAAATCAAATACATTTGATTGAATGATTGTATAATTATTGTTTTACGCCCGAATCGAAAATTTTTCTCGTCAGAGACGTCAACATATACCGGCGAATTTAGAGTAGACCTTTACTCGGCACTCAGGGTCATTGAGCAGTGAGGGATCTTTAAAATGGCAACGTCTGTTGGGACATGGGAGTTCGATTTTTAAGGTCTCATCCGAAGGACTCCCAACTGGGGAAGGAGCAGTCGCTTACCTTTTTTGTCGACTTAGAGCAGCTGCGGCCGAGATTCACACTCAAGACCTCCCGATCACGTCGAGAGTGCTCCACCGACTGAGCTACCGTTTAAAGAATGAATTCATCTGTTTAAGGTTTCGTCAAAGGTCAACATGTCTAAATAATTATTTTTACAATAGCTCCAAAACTATGTGTGGTATAAAGTCAAAACGTTTACAGTTTACCGAAACCTTAAATAGCCATCTAAACTAAAATCAAATTCGTTGTACCGGTAAATTAATATTGTGCTTATTTTTCTCTTTCATTGTGAGTTTCATTATTGGAAGAGCTGCTGCTAAACAATTCTCTACAGTTAGGTGGCTTACTTAGTAGCGTTTACCATACATACTATAGGTATGTTACTGACTTCAAACACGAAAGTTAGACAACATTCAAAGTTGGTAACTAGATATACATGTACATTGTATTACCATCCCCATTGAGGATTTGTTATCGTTGAATAAAACAGACATGCATGTTCTACTATATTAAAGTTATGATGATAAAATCTTGCCTTCATTCCTTTTAATAAAAAGAATTATAGGGATTGTAATAACAAATTAGTATCAAAAAATCCTAATCTCTGAAAAAGCTAAACATTCTAAACCGTAGTGGCACATGTATACACTTAACAAAACTTCTAAGTGTTCACTTTAATAAATGCATTTATTTAAAAACTACTTTATGGAATGGTATATTTTCAAATTATTACAACAACTGATTCTTCTCAACAATTGTAGAAAGAAAATAAAATATCACCGATGAAAACCAATGTTCCGTGACGAAGCTTAAAAACAATAAATCCGTACTTTCCGGCACGTGTTTTTAGTAATTAGCATCTTTTTGTGATCATTTTCAAATTTTAAAAACTGGTTTCACTAAAAAGCACAAAACATTGGCAGAATGATCATTGAGATAGAAGAGAGAGCTGTTGGAATGTCGATATCTGGACCATTCTTGCACCAAGTCACTTTTATTTCAGTGTTTAATTGTCCTTGATATAACTTTTAAAAATGAACACCCAGTTTCAAAACCCATTTAAACACATTTTTCTATACGCTGTGCGTCATTTTTCATCGCCAATGTATCACAATTTGAAAGTTTTGGACAAAATTAAACCAAACCGGAAGTGACATTGATCTTCGTCTGAGGCCAAAATTTCGCTTCATACCAGGTTAAACGAGTGTTAAATTGTCCTGAAACAATCTCAGAGAATTTCAATCGTATGAAAATGATAAGAAATTGGTCCTCGTGACAGTCTAATATCAGCTCAAGCTGATCCTTAAGGCGGTGCACTTACGTGCTAAACACAATAGGATATTGACCAAAAGGCATCTGTGTGATGATACACTGTCAAATTCCCGGATCTGAATCCCATTGAACACATTTGGGGTTTTTATAAAGAATGTCATAGCCCCCCCCCCCACCACCACCACCTTTCCACACAATTTCAACGGTTTGGAAAGATATATGCAGTAGGTTTGGCAGCAGATGGGTCAATCTCCTATTTAGGGGTACATGGTATCCGACAGTAAAGATTGTTTTGAAGTCATTAGAGCGAGTGGTGTTCTTACTCCATTGAGAGTTTTTTGTGTGAATTTTCATTTTGAGGGTACATCATTTCCTTGACACTTTGCTTATAATTCTGACGAGATACTTGCATGAAATTTACGCAACATCGAACTTAAATATGCATTATTAACCATGAATTAAAGAAATTATTTATTGTATGCATTTGTTCTTAAAAACTTAAAAAATGTTCGGTGAACATTTAGAAGCTTGGTTCAGTGTATTCATCACCTATTTTTTTCCATTTTAACTTTAAGAAGGGGTAGGCGGGGCCATTGGGAGTTATTGTATAAAATTTCATTACAAAATTTTAATTTCTTGAGATATCGCTATGTTGTAAATATACTCATTAAAGTTTGAAATAAGAAAAATTAAAGTACATTTAATATACAGATGCGACGTGTATTAAAGCGTGATGAAAACTGAAACACAACATAACTTTTCTGTTTATCGTGTCTCAACGTGCTAGTCACTTCCTATCCACATTTCTGTGAATAATTTACCCTATCTCGCTGTAGTCTCGCTAACTCTCGCCAGAGCTACTCTGAACTCCTTGGGTTTTATGATTTGCGGAAAACCGAAAAATAAAAGGTCCCGAACACATTAGTAGGGTGTATATAAGGGCTGTGACACCTTGGATATTATTATTCACCCGTGATATTTTTCTTCTGGTAATTTTGTGAACACTAAATTCCGTCATGTGATTTATAGATACATGTAGCATGTTTTAGCGAACTAGGGCACTGATGTGCTCTAAAACTTTAAATAGTCAGCAATCGATTTAAAATATTCTTTACTTACATGAATGGGCTCATACGTTTTAAACTTTTGTAAATAATGTACTTGTGTCATACTGAATAAATAGATAGACAGAAAATAAAGATATCGTAATTTTAATACATGCCATTGTTAGTTATTCAGTCTAATTTTAGATTTATTCTTACGATATGTTATAGTTCCGCCTCTCATATATACATAATGTTCAATCAAGGGCAGGTAAGTGTAAATTATCTGTATTTGGAAAACTGTAAGGACAAAAAAAAATGAAATAAGTTATTATATTACTGTCTAATATTACGTTTAACATTTTAATTGGGTGTCTAATTGACCTAAAAGCTAAGATTTCTCGAGATATCGTGTAGAATATATATACAGACGGACGGACAGAGTAAATTTATATTACCCTTTTTCAACGAAAGAGGGGGGACTAAAAGACAGTATGTAATGAGTGCACGTGAGCTATAGATAATGCATTGTTGTTACCAACGCATATTGACCGAGACTATAAATAACATACAGGTAGATTACACAGGTAGGTGGGTCATGTGTGTTATGCTGACGTGTCAGACGCCAATAAAATCAGGTAATAGTTATTAGGTAATTCTTTCAATAATGTTTTATCACTTGCAATTTTTTAAATATGACCAAAATTACAACTATAAATGACAGGAAAGGGGAGACATATAACTACTTTTATTTCTACCAGCTGAAATTTGTAAACTGCCTTTTATAAGATTTTACAAAAAGCTTAATTCAAAGCTATATGAGGTATAAAGTTAAAACTTTTACTATTTTTAAATAAAAGTTCATAAATATATCATTCATTGACAGATAGAATATATCACTTGAAAACAAATATTTAATAAAAGAATTTTGTGAAAAAATATATCAACAAATGTGCATGTTTTATAAAAATGCACCTGTATCTTAAGTGAAAACAATCACTGCAGGAATATTATATGCATGTTTATCAATGAAGGGTAAGTTGAACGTGAATGGTGTCTGAATGTGTGTTATTGAAAGCATGACATGTACGAGGGTTGTCCCATAAAATCGTGGACAAGTTGTCTTGCATGAATATTAATCATCACTTTCTGAAATTTTCATACTTCTTAGCAATTTTTTAAAATATAGCAAATTTCAAAATATATGCATAACTAAACGAATTATGAGATTTAATATTATGTATTGTATCGCCATACGGGGACGATAACGTCAAAGTTTTATTTCTAAGTTTCATCATTTTACTAAAAATAAAGTTTGTTAAATTACGAAAATTCATTTGAAGTAAGGTTTTATAAACAAGCTTATAATTGAAAACTTTATGAAGATTTATAAAGTTAAAACTTTTACAGACAATCTTTATATTATAGATATATCAATTGTAGTTTGTCTGTAAGTCTTGTACTACCTCGATAAAAAATATCACTTGAAAAAACAAATATATTAAAAATTTGGAAATTTTGGGTTTTTTTTGTTTGTATTCATTTAAAGTTTTATACGGTATTATTAACCATTGAAAAATATATTTTTCGTGTGTTTTGTTTAACAAATTCAAATGCTCATGTCATTTTGTGCATTGAAATTTTTATGAAGCCAATGAAATAAATTAAGGAATTGAAAACCATTTCTAACTGCATATATTTAAATCTTTTATTATATGCATGTTTATCAAACCTTCGTTTTTTGACCGTGCAAGGGTTAGTGCACATCCAAGCACTATAAAATCTATATTTTTATGTATATTTTATCCAAAACATTATAATTAACTTAAATATGATAAGTAAACATTCACTGAAAATTTCAGATGTTTATTTTTCGAAAAAATCGCATTTTATGGCATGTATAAAGACAAGACCCTATAAAATCCGCCATTTGCAACATGTACTTTCGGTTTCAGATCTTAACATTTCGACAAAATAAACAGGGAAAACAACTTTCAAGAGGCTATCGAAGTCCAACTTACCCTTCATTGATAAACATATAATTATTGTTTCTGCAATGATGACTTTCACTAAAAGTTTTGAATTAATAAGGTGTATTTTTATACATTTTTCTCGATAATTTTTTAAAGGTGCATGGACACAGATTTTCTGTATAAGATCACGACTTGTTTATTTTAATAGCATTTCACATAAAAAAATATTAAAATTTTTATTTCATCTTAAAGTTATTAAACTTAATATTTTTGAATGGGTTTGATTGACAGTTTGACACATCCTTGCACTCTCACAAATTTTACTTTTATTCTTAATACTTAGGAGAAGTGACAATCTTGATAAGTATTAATGAAAAATATTAAACTTTAATCCAGAAAAAATAATTATATTCAGAGTAGAGATGTTAGAAAGCAAAACCCCTTCACAAGTATCGTCATTCCGCGCTAAGTGTTGTGTACAGAGTTTAGCAAATTGATCACACCCGTGAAACGTACACAGTTTTTGTAATCAGGGCACAAGCTCTGTTATTGTTGATGTTTACGATTCATCGGGTGCGTTCAACTGTTAAAGTCTGCTTACCACAACTGCACGGACTGACAATATACTGTTTGTATCTTTTGCTTTCGAAAATTTGTACTCTGATTTTCTGGATTATAGTTTTAATACTTTTTATTTATACACAACAAGATTGCCACTTTTCCTAAGTATTAAGAATAAAATAAAAAAAAAATTGTGAAAGTGCATGTGTCAATCAACCCATTTAAAATGTGAAGATTTATTAACTTTTAGATTTAATAAAAAATTTTAATATAATTCTGTGTGAAATGCTCTTAAAATATTTAAGTCGTAATATTAAACAGAAAATATTTACTTCAAATCAGTGTCCATGCACTTTTAGGATTTGTTCTCAGGTGATACTTCCTATCTGTTAATCAATAAAATATTTTATGAACTGTAAAAGTTTTAACTTTATAAACCACATAATTTTGGAGCTATTAATTGTAACATGTTGACCTTTGGCAAAATTTTAATGTATGTGGACTATTTAGTTCCTATATGACAAAAACGTCTCAGTCATTTAATCATTTCACTATACAAATATTGATACATGCAATATAAAATTACAATTTTATTTTTCTATTTTAGTAATCCGTACTAGTCCCAGTTTAATCATGAACTCCCGTACAAGTGCCCAGGATGTAATACGATGTGACCTGTGTGAGACCGCTGTGGTACAGATGCACTGTGATACATGTCTTGTCAATCTGTGTAAGGCCTGTGTGGGAGAACATGCGTCAACCGATCCTTCAAAACCTCATAAAATTGTTGATTTCAAGGACAGAAAATTTACCACGATCTATCCTAATTGCAGATCTCATAATAAAGAGAAATGTAAAATGTACTGCAAACAATGTAACATTCCTGTTTGTATCAACTGCCTCGAATCTAATCAACATTTAAGTCATGAATTATCTAAATTCTTGCAAGCTTTGGATGAAAAGAAGGACATGATTATAAAAGAGAGAAATGAATTAAATGATACAATTTATCCAACCTACCAGGACATTGCCTCTGATGTACAAAAAAGAATGCGTTATTTGGAAAAGGATTATGGAGATCTCGCAACAGCCATAAAGAAACACGGAGATGACTTGCACAGAGAAGTTGACAAACTTGTCGAGAAACTAAAAGCTGAGGTTGATGAGATGAAAAACATGCAGTTACAAACTCTACAAAAACATCTGGATGAAATTAACAAAAGCGTTTCTGAAATCAAGAATGAAATCGATTCAATTGATGTTGCCGTGGATTCTAATGACATTTCCAAACTATTCAGTTTTACATCTGTTATGAACAGACACAAAGATCTTCCAGGAAAAATTGTGCCCAATTTACCAAAATTTGCTTTTGGAAGAATCCAAGGAGAAGAACTTGGTAAACTATTTGGATCCTTATCATCAAGTTCTTCAACATTATATAAACATGGCTACAGAATGACGACAAGACAGAAATCACCAGAAACGGGATCCTCTCCTCCAATCAAACAGCTACTTGATGAACCAGAGATTGCCACTACCATAGAGACTGGGTATGGATATCTTTACAATGTGGCATGTCTGAATGATGAAGATATCTGGACAAGTGGAGAAGACAGAACCATGAAACTCTTCAGCATCAATCAGGGATCACTACTCCAGTCAATCACAACCAAGTCAGGGAACGCAAAATCTAACATAGCAGTGACAAAAGGAGGAGATTTAGTTTATACTGATACCAACGACAGAACTGTGAATATTGTGAAAAATGAGAAGATAGAGGAGGTGATCAGACTACAGGAATGGAGACCTAAAGGTGTCTGTAGTACCTCCTCGGGTGACCTCCTGGTTATCATGGACAGTAAGGATGACAAACAAACGAAAGTTGTTCGTTACTCTGGCTCCATAGAAAAACAAACCATTCAGTTTGATGATGAGGGTAAACCACTCTATTCACCTAGTTATCGTTACCTAAGAAATGTTACAGAGAACAAAAACCTGAATATATGTGTAGCTGACGATGGAACTGGAGCAGTAGTTGTGGTCAATCAGGCCGGGAAACCGAGATTCAGGTACACTGGACATATTTCTGCTCTAGAGAACAAACCATTCTATCCACGAGGAATCACCACAGACAGTCAGAGTCGCATCCTTATAGCTGATATGAACAATGACTGTGTCCACATCATAGACCAGGATGGACAGTTTCTCCGTTACATAGACTGTGGACTGACTGAACCCTGGGGACTGTGTACAGATACAAATGACAATCTATTTGTTGCTCAATGGGAAAATAAACAAGTGAAGAAAATCAAATATCTGACGTGAGACCATAAAGAAATCACAGAAAAATACATCAATAAGTCAGACATGCCACACAGCTGCACTGTATACACTTAATTTAAGCAATTAAAATTTTTTAAAAATCTATTTGCTACATGAATATTATGCATGTAATAATATGCTAATTTAACTTAATCATATCTTATGTGTACATTGTGTTTGCTGATGTTTAGCAAATAAAGTGACTAAAAGGAATACTCAGATGCTACTTTTCCAATGTTAGCGATAAACCGTAACCTGGAATCAAAAATTGAAATAAATCTTAAAGTATATATATATATATATATATATATATATATATATATATATATATATATATATATATATATATATATATATATATATATATATATATATATATATATGTGTATATTTATTATGTTAAACTTAAGTTGAAACACATAAAAAAGCAGCTTAAGTGCATTGAATTATAATTAATTTACTAGCGTACTCTAAAGTACTCTATCGTACATAGTACAAGTTTACTCTGTTTAGTAGGACCGCCGTTCCAGCTACTTTCATTATTTCTTACCAATGAAAATTGTCATTACTTTCTTAGAATACTATTGCGTCATATTACCCATAATGCAATATTATTGCACGCATCACTAGGTTGTAGAACATACATCACAAGATTTTGAATATACATCACAAGATATTGTACATACGTATACATCACAAGATTGTAGAACATACATCACAAGAAATTTAAAACATAAATCACAAGATATTAAACATACATCACAAGATTTCGAATATACATCACAAGATATTGAACATACATCACAAGATTAGTATAGGTTACATCACAGAAACCGAGTAGTATTGATTATATCGTTTTCATGGGGCGTGGAAATCGAGGGCGCGGAGCGCCCGAGATTTCCACGCCCCACGAAAACGATATAACCAATAGTACAAGGTATCTATGATGTAAGCAACTTGTGGCATGTCTGATGACGTAAATTTCACTGAGAGTGTCAAAATTCAATAATAAAAAAAGATTCATTTCAAGCTAGCTCTCCAACATGTCGGATGTTCTTAGTGAATTTGACTTTAAGTTTTTAACTGAGTTTTAAGATTTTGATAATTTATTTTTGACCCAGGCACTCGACATATATTAAATCACAGAAACAAATAGCAAGGAGTTTAATGATAAAAAGTTTGGAAATTTTACCGTAACTTTCAAATTTTCAAAATGGATTAATCTTTTGAACGACTGGGAACTTTCAACCAAGTTAAATACATGTATTTTAATTTAGTTAGGGCTAAGAAATAGCTATACATGTTCATTTTTCTGTGGTTATGAACTTGTGAAATAAGATCATTTTTTTTTCTCATGACCTGATTTCTGCCTCCTGCAGTGATTTATGAAGGGGCGTGGAAAGTATTAGCGCATATGTGATATGGGATATATCACCACAGAAAGATCAAAGAAAATCACCGCAGATATGCGACAATAAAATATACATCACAAATTTTTGAATATGCATAACAAGATTTTGAACACACATCACAAGATTTTGTATATACATCATACGATTTAGAACATACCGTATATACTCGCCTATAAGTCGGCTTTTTTGGGAGTTTAAACTTGGTCCAAAACTCTCTGTCCGACTTATGGGCGAGATACAAAGATTGGTATTTTAGAAGGTCAATCTGTCTAACATAACCTTAAAAATACAACCGATTAAGAGGCGTTCCGACTTAAAGGCGAGTATATACGGTACATCACAAGATTTTGAATATACATCACAAGATTTTGAATATACATCACAAGATTATCGAATTTAGCAACGTTTTACACGCCATACATGAGAAAATAATATGCCAAATAATTTTGACTGTGTGGCCGACAATTATGAAAACTGGTAAGGGGTGTAAAGTGGTTACTGTGCACTTAAATCGGTGTTCAAAACTACTCAACCATGACATTTATGACGTCACTTGGGAGAAGTGTTTAAAGGCCAAAAAACGTGCACATATTGATGATGACAGTTTTGTAAACACATTTTGTAGTACCAATTGATGTACTGGGGGTTTAAATATCGTTTTTGCATATTTGAAGTCAGTTTGAATTTCTTGAAAGCGTGTCATGGCTGACGGGTTTCATTGGGTATTAAATAGCATCAGTGATTTAAAAGCCAACAACATGTTGCAGTGCAGTTTGTTTTAACGTTTTCAGTTGTCAGAGAGTAAATTGAAAGGTTTCCAACCTACCGCGACAGTGACGTTGGCGTGTAACAACGTCACATTAAGATAGGGCTTTCATCATGCCACTTAGCTTCTGTAAATGCATTACCATTGAAACCGATATTAAAACAGTAAGGGATCATAATTGTACCATTCACTCTAAAACTGAAAGAAAGTCATTGCTCTTTTTTGGTCCGTGAGTTCGGCAACTTTGGGTCGGTATTACAGTCACTTGCACACGCATACGTCGGATTTCTGATTTTATCTTTTATCACCCCGGAGAAATGTAGACTGTATTTGTCAAATCTTTCTTCTTTCAGACATTCATAGTTTCCAAATCGGCTGGATTCTGTAAATTTTATCTTTTTTTCCTCGATGAAAAATTTGTGGGATAAACTGGACGATAGGGTTTGAATGCTATAGAATGCTTTAGAATGCTCCAATTATTCCATATCGACTTACGGCTACCCTTTCGGAAAAGTTGGATACTATCCATATGAGAAAGATAAAATGCACTGATGAACTCCTTGCACAGGAAAATCAAGGTTTTTACAGACGCGTAAAGGAGATGAAGAGAATTTTTACTTTCATACTTCCGACAGTCAAAAAAATAGGTAGTGACTGTTCCTTCGCCAAGCGCTCGGCATCAGAAGTGAAAGTCACGGGTCTTTCGGATATGACCTTAAAAACGTAGGTCCCGTGTCACGGTAGGCGCTGGCACGATAAAGAACCCTCACTGCTCAATGGCCCTGAGTGCCGAGTATAGGTCTAAATTTGAAGCCCTTCACCGGCATCCTTCACCGGCATACGATGGCATACATATGAGTGAAAAATTCTCAAGAGGGACGTTAAACAATATACAATTATTCAATCCAACAGTCAATACCATGAAAGAATTCAGAAACTTGTTGAATAAAGATGAAATTAAATGTTTGATACCAAAAAATACATTCGATATGATAGTTCAAATTTAGTCCAAAAGTTTACTCTGCGTTTCTTTTTTTCATTTCAGTATTTATCTGAGTAATTAAGGCATGCCAATTCATGTTTTATATCACAAATGAAGCAAGCCGTATAAAACATGTGCAAATAACAAGATTTATCTACTTTAAGTTAAATTTCAAGCAATTTACAGCAAGCTCTAGAAAAACCATGCTGTTAAATTCATTTTATAAGATTTTAAAGTAAGAACTCATATCCGTGTTTGCTTGCAACGATCCATAAATACAGTAGCTGCCCTTCCATGCAGTTCATACAAATGCACATTAAAAATTATTCAGTGAAAACCAATGACCATAGGATGTCACTATTCATGAATGCCGATGTTGCTTTGAATGATTTCCATTTTGACTCACCTTAAAGAAATAAAACATGGAAGATGTAACATTGAAGATCAAGCAAAGACATTAAGGTCACATACAGTTTCTTACCCACATAGTTACTAAGAAACCCGGAAGTTGTTGCGTTTTTTGGTTGACAACATGATGCAGTCATGGGTTTATGAAATTAAACCGACAGTTATTGATACAATGGAAAACGCATTGCAATGTAGTTGTACAAAAGTTGACGTTCATCCCATATTCTGTAATAATTGTATAAAAATTAAATGTGAAATATAAGTATTTTTTCAATTTCTTTCTTATAAAAGATAAGAAAGCATTAACAATTAACCTTAACAAGAACTTTATTCTCAGATAAGAATTTAGGTAGAAACAATAATTCATAAATTATAATATTCAATTTAATATTACTCTGTTACAGTTCCAATATTTCAACCAAATGTCGCTATTTTCCTCGAGTGAAAAAAGCCCAGTCCCTTGAATGTAAGACCTAATAATCCTCTTTCGTGTCTGGGAACAAGGCCTACTCGTGCTTGTCTTTAAGTATACCATTCCTTTATTGCATGGCTTTACTGCACGCAAAATGCGTTTATCAATCTTATAAGTTTCCACTGATTATTCACTATTTCTTAATTATCCCCTCTTGAAAGGGGGTTTGACCCTTTATTTGAATAAACCTGAATCCCCTTCACCCAAGGGTGCTTTGTAACAAGATTGGTTGAAATTGGCTCAGTGGTTCTGTAGAAGACGTCGAAAATGTGAAAAGTTTACAGATGAACGGTGTCGCATATTTGGTCCGCCTCGTTTAGTCGAAGAAAATATCCAATTATTTGCAGTTTCCGTTCATTTTCTTTGCGGAGGTTGCACGTCATACTGAAATGACTTAACTTTACTTGTCTGCCAAGTTATATTGAAATCAGACAAGAAATGTAGGAGAGGTAACGTTTTGGAAAAAAAAATGTTTTCAGACAGACGGAAAGACATCGAACACCTAATTCTCACATAAGCTCTTCTGGTCTAATTAAAGAAGAGGTAATAAAACGTTGTTATCTTTCTGTGACATCGCTACTCCGTGTGCACCTTGATTTAAACAAATATTCTTGATATTTACTGAAAAAACTTGCATGTAACAGTCCTATGGTAAGGTTTTAAATATATTTGACAATTTTAGGTGAGGGAGGGAAAGGTACATTACGTATTACTGGAAAATAATTCAAAGCAAATTAAGATGATAGAAGGATGAACAGACAGAAGGACACTATATGATCAGAAATATTAAAACAGCTGCTGAGCTATATAGATTAAGCACTTTCCCCAACATACACAAACCTATAACTATAAGATTACTTGCAGTTAAACTTATGTGGGTCATGTGAATTTGGTTGGAAATACAAATGCCAATAAATTCAGGTAATTATCATAGGGTGATTTTTGCAATAAATTTTCATTACTTACTATTTACAGCTCTGAAAAATCTATTAAGATTTGTGTAAATGTTAAAAACATTATTCAAAGATGATCAAGATCATGCTTGTTTCTTATAGAGAAGGGAAGATATAGGGGCCTATACTATTTTTAGTTTTTACCACCTGAACTACGTGTTTATTACTTGTATTTATCTGACTGTATGCAAGTATTAACTGTCATTGCTACTCTTCCAGACTCGTAGAACGGGAGGGGGCACCTAGACAGTTAATGAGGTTTATTTTACCTTGTCAGATTTTATGGGAAGCTTCATCCCCTTTTAAAAATCAAGTCATTATATTAAGATTATTGATACATGTAAATAATATTATTGAAAACAAGACGTGTTTGTGAAACACTACTATGCGCCCGGTGGCAACAAAGTTCCAAAAACTATTTTTAGCACATAGGTCACAGTCAAAGTCACAAGGTCAATTATCTTGGTGTCAGTTGAAAGAGCTAAACTAGTGGAGCCAGCATACCAATTATGAAGTCTTTATCTTTCATGGTTCAATAGTTATAGCAAAAGTTCACAAAAACTATTTTTAGCATATAGGTCACAGTCAAGGTCATAAGGTCATTGACCTTGATCTCATTTGAAAGAACTTTTCTAATGGAGTATGCATACCTAATATGAAGTCTCTATCTCTCATAGTTCAAAAGTTATGGCGAAGGTTAAAGTTGACGACAGACAGACTAACAGATAAACAGACAAACAGACGGGACAAAAACAATATACGCCTCGGATCTATCGATCCGGGCGCATAAAAATTCCATTTTCTAAAAAATAAAATCCTAGTTTGATATGGACCCCCGTACAAGTGCCCAGGACGTGATGCGATGTGACATGTGTACGTGAGACTGCTGTAGTACAGATGCTCTGTGATATGTAAAAACATTGGGAATAATTTTCATTCGCTGTACGTAGCAGTGTGTAGTGCATTATCTTTGTTGACTAATTCGTCGCTCCAGACTTTTGCATTTTGTGTTTTGGATATATGACTTCGAATTCGATCAATAATACGGGTAAGAATTATGATTTTATTTAATTTATTTAATTTATTGCTACCTTGATTTTAATATGTGATTACTGCACGGAAGAGTACTTAACCCGAATTTTAGACGCCATTGTCCAATTTTAACAACGCACTCTTTTGAAACTACCAATCTGTACTGCAAACACCTAAAATGACAGTGTCTGGTTTTTTTTTAAATAAACGTATGTACGTCTTATAAATATTTACTTTTCACAATTGATGAATTTGAAAATAAGCAAGGCGGTAAACCTACTTATGTGAGGATAAGAACAAAATGAGGACTGTAGGTGCGACATTAATCCTTCCTCTTCAGGTAGTGTAAAATCAAATTTGTGGGGCCACAATGGACGATCAAAGTTTAACACATAAATATATATGAAAATTTTAAAACAATTTCATTCTCGAGAATAGCAAAGTCATGCTTTGTAAAGTTTATATGGAAGCATCTTTGGGTAGTTATAATTTCAATTTTTTTTTAATCTTGACAACCTTGGTAGGAAGGGGGTCCTTTATGGATTATTGTTTTATACTCAATCGACTGTAGACACTTGGACCTCTTTTCTTTTAATCTGTACCCCGTTTGACCTATTGTAATATGTTAAAGTTCTGTTGAATTGTCTTCTTCCTCTCCTTTTTACATTGATGATGATTTATAAAAGAATTGTTATTTCATTTCATATAAATGTTTACCATTTCCAATTTTGGATGTAATCAAATACTCTTGCTTAATACATTTCATTGGTAATTTCAATATTTATAATACTGATAACTAGAAAAAAAACTTCGAATTTTATTTGTTTTTTCTCTGATTTGCGTTAACGTTTTTTATCTTTTAAAAACAATTAAACAAATTTATTCGTTGAAACATGAATGCAATTTTCAAGATGAGCAACGATCTTATCCTTGAAGTAACGTTTATTCCCAAATTAGAATTTAAAAAGTTATTGATTACTAGATAGGGTTGAAAATCATCTAATCACCAAAAATCATTTTAATTATTGGTTTTATGCATGCGTGTATTATTTTTGAAGTCTATACTGTATGTACAAATGCAGAAAAATATATGTCATACGGGGGAAAATATGAAATTCAATTCAATTAGAGAAAATTAGCTGAAACACATATTCAAAATTAAAGAGGTCGAGCAAGATTTAGAAGAAACAGACTCTGAGCAATTGAAAAATAATTTAAAGGAATCACTGTAGGGATGTTCATAACTTTAAAAAAAAATGATTTTGAATCAATGGATGATTTATGCTGAGTAATTTAATAACTGTAATTTGATATATATAAAGTTTAAAAGTATAAATGTAAATGTTGTTGTCTAGATTTTTGAGCTTTATTATAGATAGACTTTTATTAATAAAGGAAAAGGCAAAGTGTATTTTTAGTGATTGATATCAATTCCATGATTGGTGATCTCTTGTTTCAATGTAGGTTGCTCAACAATATGAAAAAACCAAAGAAGAACGTTTAACAACCAAAGGAGGATGATATACTTATCATTACTGTTTAAGCATTATGAATAAATCATTCCCTACACAGTTAAAACCACCAGAATGTTCTCAGTGTATAAGAGCCTTGCAGAATACTACTATCTGTGTGTACCCTGACCCTGTAAGGAGGAACATGTGATAGACTTTGACAAAAAACACCACGATGTAGTGATTGATCGCTTAAAGTATATTACTAGACACTTGTGAGAGACACCCAAACATGTTCTGTGAAATGTGGTGCCTAATGTTTAAGCTTCCAATTTGTTCTTTCTGAGCAGAGCACTTAGGACACAATGAACAGGACATAAAGGTGGTGTATAAAAGACAGCAGGAACAACATCAGGATTTTTTTTCACTTAAGAAGTGAAGTTATGCTGTATAATCATTGTGTCCAGGTAGGGATCAATTCTGATATCAAATCTTGTCAAAATGAAATCTCCAAATTCAAGAAAATTATTTTCATGAAAGCTAAAAGGCTGAAGGATATGATAGATATAGCACTGGAAGATATTTTAGAGGACATCGGGGTAAAACTGAAATATTACTTTAACTCTAAACAAGACAACAAAGGAGACACATAAGATCCATGCAAAAACACGAACACGGGTCTGAACAGTTAGTTAACAGAGCAATACAATTTCTTTTATTTTCCAAAAAGAACAGCATTTACAAAAATAACGACAGTAAGAGTAAATTGAAGGTAAACACTCACTCCCTCAGCAAGGAAACTAACAAAGATAATGTTTTCAATATTCTGGGAGAGTTTCTGTCACAGAATCAGGAAAATGAACAATTATTTAAAGAGATGTCATCTCCAGTGTTACAGAAAATTTTCACCGTGAAAACTAATTTGTTGAAAAATAATGTCAGTCATCATATCTCATTTGTGACACCAGACATTGCATGGGTCACCAGTTGGAACAATTTGAAACTAACAAATACAGAGGGTGACAATTTACATTATCTTGACGATAAATATTATAACGATTGTGCACACACTGTGACTGGCGAAGGCACTCTTGTATACATAGATAGGTATTATAACATCAACAAACTCTCGGACAATGAAACCAAGTCTATATTAATGAGTAAAACAGAACCTTGGATTCCATACTGTATTTTCTGCTCTCCTTTAAATGGAGATTTTCTCATTGGGATGAGGAGGGAAGATAAATTGATAGCCAAGGTAGGCCGCTACAACAGTAAAGGACAGGAACTCGTACACAGCCCAGATCAGGGACTGTATCAATCTACAAGATGTATCACAGAAAACCAAAATAGAGATGTGATTGTTGCTGAAAATATCTTTGGATCAGGTGTTTTGGTTGTGACAGACTCAACTGGAACACACCGCTTCTCCTACAAAGGAAATCAAAGAAAATTGAAATTTGAACCTCATGGAATTTGTACAGATGCTCTTTCACATATACTTGCGTGTGATGGTTATACCAAGAAGTGCAGGTGATTGACAAGGATGGTCAGTGTTTTTCGCTAAGTACTATTAACAGAAAAGCATGGAATAGAATATCCGTACAGCCTGAGCTATGATCACAAATCTCATCTTCTCTGGGTCGGATCATTAAGGAACGCTTTGATTCGTATGTAACCGGAAGTAGAACTCTTCAATGTATAAATTACTAAAGTTACTAGCCAACTTGGCTTAAAGGAGTAAACTATCTCCAGTTATCAATGATCAACCCAGGTAAGGGGATTTCTGAACTATGGTCAACGCTAAATGAAAACACAGTTGTAAGTTTTATAAATTTAATGAAGTGAGAATTAACCGTTGTAAACGATAACAAATAATAAATAATGATCAAAATTTAACAAACAGAAAAGTCTTTGAAAATGGCACAGGATAAATAAAGCCTTCTCAAAAATTGATTTAATCTGAGGCCAAAATAAAATTATAGTTTGTTTGGAATTGCCTCCCGCCTCATTGAAATGCCCCCTCCTGAAAAAGTTTTATTAACAAAAGTAGGAAGATTTTTTTTTATTTCTATCATTTTTTTCCATTACATGTATCACATGCACCATACAAAACACTGAAATATAGTGTCAGATCTATGTACAATTAGTTTTCAATTAAAAAAAAAATTAAATTTCCTCCCTCCCTCCCATGTCTGAAACCTTTTAGGCGGCAATTCCAAACAAGCAATTTTTTACGTATGGCCTGATAAGTGAATCTCAGTAATCTCAATGAATACTCTCAATAAATAAATAAGTAATTGAAAAATGAAATAAAAAAAAGGGAGGAATGTGGCAAAACTATGAAAAAATAATCTATGTCCCTACTGAGCTGTCATACTTATCAGAAAGGTGAAAAAATCCTATAAAAATCAATGAGATGTCAAAAATGTAAAGGGAATGAGCTACATCACCCAATATGACTACTATCAACACTCTAGAGTTGAACTGAAAATATCAATGCTAATTCTAGGCTCTATAAATAACTGACCCAGAAAATAAACAACACCCAAAAATAAATAATAAATAGTGGTTCTAGAAAATAAACCTGTTATCTACATACCCCTAGACCAGGCAGGACTTGAAAAGGGGAAACTAAATTTACTTTAAATAACCTACATCTTAACTGTTTCCAGTCTAACATGTGAAAAACATGAAACTAAATCTAAGCCAAAACCTAGAGAACTGTTAAACCATGAGGTTTTCTTAGCTCGCTAAGTATCTAATCAAATAGTGCTCATAAACCATGAGGTTTTCTTAGGACAGAAAAAAGGAACTAACCATGAGGCTGTGTTCCTCAACCCAAGTGAAGAAAACTACACGAACACGGGCTTAAATACCCTAGCTAGGCCCAAAATAAAAGCCAATGACTATCAAAGATCCTAAAGCTAAATTAACCAATCAGAACGCAGCTATCAAAAGTACTATGGAAAGACTGCCAACATGGATGACACTTCCTGTTTAAAAAGTAAAACATGTGGAATGTCAATTCATGTCCTAACTTATAAAAGACAAATAATAAAGGGTTTTACGTAAGTAACAACTGAAAACAAATGGTAAATAGAATTATCAGACTGAAATATCAGCAAATACTTGTAAAATAGGAATTTCGAAACGATGGCTATGAAATAAAAATCCAAACCACTACATTCCTCCCCCCCTTAAAAAAACAAAATTTACACAATAAATTTTCGTTTCAATATAAGACAAATGTTAATTACTTAAAGGAATGTCAGAATAACTTTCGTTTCTCGTCCCGAGCATTATATGTTGTAAGCTGAAAGAGTAGTTTCACTCGCAACGCACGGCGTTCCCTCGCAGCCTCATCCCGGGCTTCGTGATGGACTGGCGGAAGTGGAAGGCCAATGTCCCCAGGATCACAATATCGTGGATTTTGGATGACTCTCCTAAGGCAACATCCGTGCAGCCCTTTATGTTTCTGTCGCATGTGCTGTTTTAATGTGTTCATTTTAAACGATGTGACAGTGCATTTCTCTGCAAAGCAGTGATACACAGGAACTGTACGCTTATGGAATTTTAGATAATGGGCCCGATAAGAACCAATCTTCTCAAAGATGTGGGGCCTCGATGTACAATCTATAACTGAACATTGCTGTCCCTCACTCGGCCACTCCTTTCCAATGAGTTCCTCCAACTCCTTACTGGACACCTCAACTTCAAGGACGTCATCCATCTATCAATTATGAATTTGTATAACAAGGATTAGAAAAGTATTAAAGCAAATTAATCACAATCAATGCAAGTTTTGGAGTCAATTTATCTCTATGAAAAATAACTTTTAAAATTAAAATCTTAAATTCTAAGACTTAATTTAAATAATATCTGAATATATGGATTGTTATTCATTTTAGTTATCTATCAAATTCAGAATCCACTGAATTTAAATCCCAAAATGTTATCAAGTAGCGCGCAAATACTTATAACATAACCTAAACAAGGGATGACCATGCATCACCTCCCATAGATAAACTCTAAGAAAAACTTAAGTGTTGATTTCAGCACAGTACAAGGGAGATAATTTAAAGGTCATCTACGGTCAGTATTAAACTAGGAATACCAAACTCTCAATGATTCATATCTATTATTACTGTTACTGAATACTCAGTAAGCCGAAAGAGCTGAAATATACTGTTTTGACTTCTAGATAACTATAAATCATTGCCAACTACTGTGTCTTATCAAATAAAAAAAACAACTATCAATGACCTTGTATCCAAAGACAAAATCAGTGCTAACTTGAATGTTATTCTCAAAAGAAAATAAATGACTACCAAAAACTTACTCATTAATAAAGTAATTAAGATCTACTCTTAAAACTAGACTGAGATATTTCAAAAATTAAATATCATTTGTCATCACTACAAAAGATAAACTCAAACCTTTTATATATCATATTATATATAGAATTAAAAAAAAAATTAAAAATAACTATTTACATAGGCATTTAAAAAAAAATTAAAAGCCTAGATACATGCCTGGTCTCAAGGAGAGTAGATAACAGGGGGTTTTATTGTTCTACCCCACCTTGACTGTCTAAGGGGTTCAGGACTAGGTAAATTAAAAACAGGAGGAATATCCTCTTCAACTTCCTCTTGATCATTAAAATCTATAGGAGTATGATCTACATGGGGTTCTAATGACTCGTCAAGGGAAGTAACTACTGGTGTCCAGTTTCTAGGAGGTAAAATGCCTTCATAGGGTTTTAACTGATCTACATGTACAACAATGAGAGGGCTCTTAGGGTCTTTTTGAACTTGATAAGTTACATCTGTGATCTTCTTGATAACCTTATATGGCCCTATCCATCCTAACCCTAACTTAATACCAGCTGAGGGTGGATACCACCTCCAGACGAAGTCATTTTCTGTAAACTCTCTAGGTTTTAATCCCCTATCATAGTACTTTTTCTGTTTTGATGCTGCCTGCCTAAGATTTTCTGACACAATATTGTAAGAATCAGATAAAACTATTCTTAACCACTCTACATATTCTACAGGGCAAGTGGGGATAAGTGAAGAAGGAGAATTCCCTAATATAAGATCAACTGGGCTCATAATTTCATGGCCAAACATGACTAGATTTGGTGAGCAACCTGAACTTTCTTGAATGGTTGACCTATTTGCCATAAGAACAAAGGGTATATTGTCATCCCAATTATCCCTATTTTTATTTGCACAAGCTGACAACATTTGTAAAAGTGTCCTATTCATCCTCTCAACTAAACCATCTGACTGTGGCCTATATGGAGTAGTGCGTGTCTTTTCAATGCCTAACTTCTCACATAAGACAGAAAATAGTTCCGACTCGAACTCGCGACCTTGGTCTGAGTGAATCTGTTTAGGGACACCAAATCTACAGATGAATTCATTAACTATCTTATCTGCTACTGTCAAAGCTGTGTGATTAGGTACTGGATAAGCTTCAGCCCACTTAGAAAAATAATCACAGAGAACTATGATGTACTCATTACCATTACTTGTTCTGGGTAAAGGGCCTAAAATATCAACTCCTAACCTATCTAAAGGAGCACCTATGACTGATTGATGAAGAGATGACCTTCCAAAACCTGAACCAGCTTTTGCTCGGACACAAACATCACACTCTCTACACCAACGTTTAATGTCTGAAGACATACCAGGCCAATATACCCTACGCTTTATGGATTTAATGGTACGTTCCCTACCTAAGTGACCAGCAGTTTTATTCTCATGCAGTTCATGAAATATCTGAGATCTAATGTGTCTAGGAGCAATCAACAACAAAACCTCCTTATCATCTAATGATTTCCACTTGTAATACAACATGTTTTCTTTGACTTCTAGAGATTCCCATAACCCCAATATGTTTTCAAGTCAGGAGAAGCATCCAAAACAACATGCCTAGGGGGTTTAACAATGGAACTTTCTTTTAACCTAATAATTTGCCTAATTGCAGGTTCTTCTTATTGCCAAGTTCTCAACTGATCAACTGACCAAGTATCCAACCAGTTAGGTACAACATCACAGCTATCATCACCATTGTCATCAACAGAATTGTGGGACCCTGACTCCGCCGATTGAACCATTGGTCGGTTCTCACAGGAGCAACCTTAGCGGCCGAGGACAATAATATGCTGTCAAATTGCTTAGGTGCACCTGTTCGACCACCAGAATCCACACAATCCTCCAAATGACAATCAGGACAATCCTCACGCTTACAATAACTGGAAGGCCTTCTTGACAAACTATCAGCATTGCAATGAAATTTCCCTGGCCTATGTTGAATGGAAAAATCATACGTCTCCAAAACTGAAAGCCATCTAGCCAAAATTCCTTCTGGATTCTTAATGTTCTTCAACCACACAAGGGAAGCATGATCTGTTCTAACCGTGAAATGTCTACCCCAAGGAAATGTCTATACAGGCGAATGAAAGTAACTACTGCCAACAACTCCTTATAAGTGGTACAATATCTGACTTGGGATTTATTCAAAGTCCTA